GGTGCCGTTTTCTTTTCCATTACGTTGAATCAGAATGTCTTTTAAAGATCTTTAATAATTTTATGCTCTGTGCAGTAGGTCGGTGCTACGATCGGCAAGACTCACAGGCGAAGTATCTGGGAGTGTACTAAATGTACAGTCCAACGCTAAGAATTATCATAAATAATAGAGCAAAGGACTTGGGACAAGGTGCATTCAACTAGGTCCCCCTGACAGCATAAGCAAGTTGCGAAAGCTAGCTCAAACCACCTTTATTCGGTGGGATATTAGGACAATGTTTGAGGTCTTTTAATTGCTGCATCACATTTTCCATGTTGCCTTCAGCGCTTTGATGGAGTTCTATGGTGTCTAGTTCGCATAAAGTGGTGAAATTTACTTATCGACTAACCGTTAGTGGCTGCAGTTTTAATGTCTGCGCCGAGTGAGACGACATTTCATCTCATCGAACTTCCATCATAGTATGGGACAAGGGAGAGAGAATATGGTGTGGGAATCCAGGCCCCGTTCATAAACTTAACTCGCTCGGTATGCTACTATCGAAGATCCTGCTTGTTAATTCGGAGGATAATATATGCCACAAAATGCTCCTGATTTTTATTTTTATGAGCTTCTCTAGGCGTGAAATATCGTAGCTTCCATTCAAAATAGTATATGTCAATCGCATTAGCCTATTAGCAATAATAGCGGTGACAGTACTTTTGGCACTTTCGGGTTCATCAAGGACGATACCATCATTATAACCAAGACCCTTTTTTTTAAAATTACGTTTGTCCAAATTGACTCAATCTTTGCACTTATTTACTTAAATCCATCCTTAAAATTTTTGCTAATCTCTCACCTTAGGATCCTTGCTCTACAGAGCGATTCACCCACTTCCACCACTGTCGATAGTAACAAGTCTGCTAATTCAAAATCTCTTGGCGAACTACTTGGAATAGAAATGGATGAAGATATCGCAGAGGACAAAGCGGTGGCTGAATTGCGCCTCTTCGATGCAAATATAGCGACACTGACATCAGAGCGGCTTGATCTTACACACCGTGATCAGCTACAAAAAGCTATTTTCAGAGTCCAGCGGAGTCTTCACGAGGCCCAGCCGCGGAAAGCTTTGGCGATAGCCCGACAGCTTTGGCGTCTTTGGCCCGAGGTTTCACCGGCTTCTGCCGATGCTGACATTATGGATAATCCACAAGTTGATTTCGTCGCAATATCTGAAACGGAAATGGATCAGTCAAATTTAGCGAATTCGAACGCTTTGCAAATTGCCCAGCAGACTAGAATAAAGGCGATGGAGTCTGGCCTGGCACCTGTCAATAGGACTGCCCTTATGTCCCTTTGGTCTATTCATATGTCAGACCTTAGAGGTTTGTTTTTTTTAATAAGTGTGTAGTAGCTCTTTTTCAATTATAATGATTTAGATCCATACTTCAGTCATTTCAAATCGGTTATATTTAATGTGTATTTATCGTCCTGTCCATTTTGTAGATACATTTTCTCTATAAGTAAATTTACCTCGTTTTGTTAAGAAGACTGATTAACTTTCCTTGTCCGGAGTTCTCTGTTATAGTAGTGATGATAATATTCAGCTTCAGATCATAGGATTGGTGCATTTTCAGAGGCTTCGCTGGCATCGTCAGCAAAACTTACAAAAAGACACAAAAGTGGCTGGAACAAGTAGAAAAGTATACAGGGAAGGTGATCTTAAGGGATAGCAGGAGACGTTTGCAATTAGTCTAGGCAGACCAAATAAGCAGCAACAAAATGTGGGGGATGTGAAAATCAAGATGTTGTGGCCTCGGGTATGGTCGCAGTCTCCTTTCGATTTATAGAATTGGGTTTACCTCGTTGTCGCAACTTGGTCTTGTGTTCAGGTAAACTATGTAGAACGCGCAGAGTCTGAAGTCGTCTGCCATAGTAGTTGTCTTGATTCCCAGCATCTGACAGTGGACTTGATACATTCTC